TTAATACAAGGGGCAGCTGGAGAGGCAAGTTACAGGATATGGACTTGACCCAACAGGTGATCAAGGGGGACAGGGATCCTCCGAGGGGGAGGAATGGGATCACCTCTGTCTTCTAGAAATGTCCCCTGCTGATAGAGAAGGCACTGCAGAAGGGGCACAGATGCAAGAAGACCAGTCAGGAGGTGCTCTGCACTATCCAGGCAAAGGCCTTTTCTTCAGGCAACATGGCAGTGGTAGAAAGCAGACAGATGCAAGAGACACTTCTGAGTAAGAATGGCTGGGTTTTCTCCATCAACTGCTTACAAATAATAGTGATAATAGTAATATTATCATAATAATATTAAGAGCTAACATTTCTTGAAAACTTAATCTGTACCAAACACTATTTTAAGCACCTTATAGGTTTTCACACAATGAATGCTCACAGTAACTTAAGAGGTAGGTACAATTACCACCTCATCTTCTGGATAAGAAAACTTCGGCACACAAGTGCCCAATGCCTCTCAGCTGGTGAGCAGTAAAGCCTGGAGTCAAGCGTGGGCAGCTGTGCCTCTAACTTCATGAGGGATGAGGGATCACAGAGAAAGGGAAGAACAGGATAGGACAGGGGTGAGCTCTTCAGTTTCCCTCCTTCTCCAAAGTAGGGGTAGGTGACTTGAAAGAAAGCCAGTAAGATCATTAATCACCTACTAATTCCTTATAGAAGCAATTACATTCCTCATAGAAGCTGTTTAATGGGCTCAACTACAACCCAGCAAGTGAAATGTAGAATAACATCCGATCGTGGCACCAGGCCATACTTCTACCACACTCCAGTAAAAATAAACCTTTCTGTCCAAATATAGAGTGGTTAGAAGTGCCATGTTTTACAGGAGAAGAGGCAGTTATTTGGCATTAAAAATAGACAAGTTTCGGCTTCCCCACAAATCTGGGCAAGAGCACTGCAATTTCCAAATGGAAACACAGAGCGATGGGGTAAGCCCCCTCATACTGACTCAGCAATTTTAAAAGCCCAACTAGTAACTGCATCCCCTTTTGAGGTCTCAGTTTACTCATCCACAAAACGAAGAGGTTCATTTCTCGGTGTTGAGGTTCAACCAGACAAGATGGATCAATGTCACTTCAAGCCCACACTATCAGAGCGGGGAATGGGAGTCTAAGCCCAGCCCTCAGAGAGCAGACCACTTCTAAATCATGGGGGGCCCAGCATAGGCAAGACCAGTGGCCCCATGGCTCAGGGCAAACTGCTGAGAGAACCAGGCGTGGTTAGCCCCAAGGGTTTTCAGAACTCTGTCAAGACCTTTAAAGTACCCTTTTGAGACTGACACATCATAAAGATGTGTCTTAAATGTTTCACAAAGAAACACAAAGGGAGGAGGGCCTCCCTGGTGCACAAGAGGTTAAGTCTTAGCACTAAGAAGCTATCCATAACCACTGCAGCAAGAATTGGATCCCCAGGTCAGGGAGGTGATGCACATGGTGCAGCAGACCTCTCCTGTTCTGTCCACTGCTCCCCTCAGCAGTGTACTTCAATAGTTCCACCTGTTCTGCTCCCCACTTTTCTCTCTGGTGAATCCTCTCACCCTCTCCTGTACCTCTGGCCTACACCCCAGCTCTTGTACGTATAAAACATCAATCTTTCAAAACAAGAAAAAAGAAACGCAAGGTAGAGTGTGTCCTAACAACTAGCATACCTCCTAAGATGGTATCTTCTGCATACAAGAATTGAGGTACAGGCCAGAGGTGCCAGGGGGTGACCTCCCTGGCTGGAGATCAAACTCATGCTGAAGTGGCTGTAGACAGATTCATAGCACCATGCTTTACTCCGCTGTGCCACCAGGGAAGGCCCCCTAAGATGGTATCTTGATCAAAGGGAGCTGATACCCACCTGACAAAGAAGTGGGGGGTGGTATGGAGGGGCTGCCAGGACCCTTTCCATTTTGGAGGCTGCTACTGGCCAAGTGCTGGCCTTAGACAGGTCTTTAGCACACATTCCTTTAATCGTGCAGCACAGCTGTTCTTTACATGTGGCAGAACTGAAGACTCAGAGAAGTTACATAACTTGCTTAAGATCATTCAGCCAGTAGAGGCTGGAGCCCAGCCAACTCCAGGTCTGCATCCAAAGTCTGTGTCTCTCCACCTCGTGGGGCCTCTGTGGCGCTGCTTTCTGAGTGGTCAGAAGGGTTTTCCTCAACTCCAAGGGGAGAAAGGAAGTCATGACAAAGTGAGAAGCCCCGAGAGAACTCAGGATGGCTGCTGAGATACAAATTAGGAGCCTCTAAGTCCCTAAAGGATTTCCTTGCATGTTTAACACACCTTGAAAAAGGACAGCTTTGCTTTAAATGCTTTTATTAAAAATTGTACCAACTGATTGCAGGGGAGGGAGATACACACACATGTACGCATGTGAAGGACATAAAGTCAAATACTCTGTACAGGTTAGGAAACAATGGGCCCCCATTCCCCTCCCTCTTTCCCTGTCACTCTCCCAAAAGCAGAATGCCTATATCCCAGGGAAAATGGACCCGGATGAACGAAATGCTACATTCTCACTGGGTCTCCCCAACCTTTCCTGTGGAACAGGGATGGGACAGCTCATTGGCAGGGAGAGGCGCTGGTCACCTCAATTAGGGAACTGCAGGGACTCCAAGCACTTCCAGCCCAGGAAGCTGTCTGGTCTACCATCTATGGAAGAACTCAGCTTTCTCTGCTATTCCCTCAAGGCCCAGAGTCCTCACCAGCCCTGCCCATAGGTCCTAGGAAACTTGACAGGCAGACAGGTTAACTCTTTCTTGGAAGAATCTGGCCTGGGTAAACTCCCACTGAAGGTCCCTGCCTACACGAGGAACTTCAGAGCTTCCTCCAGCCTGTGCTGGCAGCACTGATTCACAGGAGTCCCACAGAAGCGACAGAAGTCTTCCTGCTTCTGCTGCTCTGTTAGCCATCTCCACTCTCTTCCTCTTCAAATCTCCGCAAAGACATAAGTTCTCAAGAGGCAGCATGTTCACGGCCACAGTGGCTCCTTCCTAGTGGAGGCCCTGACTAGTTCATTCCAAACAATCCCCTCCCTGTGTTGCCCAGACTAGAGCTACCCTCAGGCGGACTGGGCCTTTGGGGTCAGTGAGATAAATCTGCTGATCTTCTTAGAGCACCCAGAATATGCCTGCCTCATAGCTCTCACCACAGACCTATTCCCCTAAGGGTTCGGGGAGGTCACTGGGAGGTGAGCTTTTTCTGCCTAGGACTGAGCAAGAGAAGACCAAGGGGGCAGTTCTCCAGCAGCCCAGACTTTGAAGCAGGCAAAGGCAGAGAGGCCAGGTCAAGTCATCTAATTCACAGGGGGAGTCAGATGTCTGACCTGGGGGTTCCTTCCCCAGTGCTGTCTGAAGGCATCCAGAAACTCCTACTCTGGGATTCTAAATTAGAAGGGCTGTTTTGACCCTGAGTATCAGGCTTCCCTTCCTCCAGGGCATTGCTACAATGGGGAGGGAGTTTGCCAGTCCCTCTCCCACCCCCAAGCCTCAGTGAAAGCAAAAGCCCAGCCTGACAAACTGTCAGTGGGTTGCAGGTCAGGACCCAGGTCAGATCCTCCCTCCCTCCAAATCTGTTTCTCCACCCCCTCACCGGAGACAGCCAAGCTCTTGGGGGTGGGGAGTGGTGAAAGGGGGCCCAAGGGGGTGGACCCCTCTTTTGAGGCAGGGCTTTGGGAATGTTCAGCCAACTCACCAGGCAGAGGGGGAAGAAGCCAGTCTAAATCACTAGACCAATTAAAAACAGCCAGCCAGAAGGAACCTCTCTCCCTCCTGGGGCTATTCTCCCAATTACCTCCAGAGGTTTTTTTTTTTTTTTTTTTTTTTTTGTGGAGGGTTAGAGAAGAGAGGGTTTTCGATTTGGCTCTGGCTTGTTTAGGATAGTGAGTTCCTGGCTTCACTGACATGCAGACAGGGCAGTCAGACCACCTCCCTCCTCCTCCCCCGCCTTCAACCCAGACACATGTTCAGGTGACTTGTCAAACTGGGCTCAGTTCTCAGGCCAGGGCACTGGGCATCCAGCCTGGGCCTGGCAACGTCTCTGAAGCTGATAGTTTTGCCTTAGCACCAAGGCCTAGACCATTTATTTGTTCTCACTCAACTCGGTGGAAAGCTTGCCAAAAGAAGTTACAGTGGCCGGTAGAAAAAAATCCTGTTTCTTTTGTGTGTGCCACTCAAAATATATCAGCACCCTGTCACAGCTTTGGTCCAGGTGAGGGGAAAACACGTGTCCTACGCATACAATGCACAGGGAATTCTGGATTTCACAATGGTCAGTGTGTCCCGGAGCCGGTCTTCATGCCTGTTCCCTGGGCTTTTGCTTGTAAGCAGAAACCCATCTTCTTAGCAGACGAACCGTGGTACGCACCCTGAGAATTTAATTCTGGCCCAAAAGAGGTAAAACCTACAGAACATCCAAGCTGAATGAAATAAAGGCTTATACACAGTTTGAGGTCCTTTCTCAGGGTCACTGTGGGCCCAGAGGATACCACTGTGCAAAGCAGGAATGGCACCCCTGCCTCTGGGCAGGCACAGTCCTCTACTAGGGCTACAGCTTAGTAAGTAGAATGCTGCTTGATTTTAGTAAGCAGAATGCTGCTTGGCTTTAGCCTTCGTTATCTTCCTCTGCAGTGAACTATCTGCCCAACCAGTATATCCAGAAGATCACTGCTTCCTTCAGTGGTACTGAAGATGGTCTGTGGTGGAAATGGAGGTGCTTGGCTTGTTCAGGTTTGATATGATGACTTCTTCAATTTCCTTGGGTAGTCCTGGGGTCCCTGCTGCCAAGGAAGCCATCTTTTCTTTGGGCCTCGCATCACCTTTAGCACCAATGTTATTTTTTCTTATGTATACAAAAACTATAATTTAATTCCTAGGTGTCGGATAACAGATTCCCTGTGTCTGTTATCAGCGTTGCCAGACCGGCTGCTTTAAAAGCTCTTTCCACAGCAGGGAGAGAAGGGAAGAAGTTCAGAGGCAGCTGAGACCTTGCTAAGTTCCAGAGCGCAACCTCCTGGCTTAGCTGGAAGCTGAAGGAAGACATGAAATGTATGCCCAGCTTTGCTGGTTCTGTAGCCTGATCATTGTCTATTATTCTAAAAGACGTGTTTCAGCTAACAAGGCCACTGTGTGGGCTTCTTCCTGTATCCCACTAGGTGTGAAAAAGGAATGGGGATAAGAGGGAGGAGGTATGTTGTTTCCAAGGAAACCAAGGAGTCTGGGTTCCTCTCCAGCTGACTCCTACAACAGGATGGCCACATTTTCCAGCTCCACTGCTATCTTGCCCCTCGCGCCCTGGAGCGCTGATATGGGGGCAGGCAGTCTGTTGGCTGGTCTTTGAAAGGACAGCTGACAAAGGCACGAGCTGCTCTTACAGCAGAGGCTGCTTGTTTGGCTCTGGTGGTTGACATCCAAGTCACCCCAGGTAGCCAGAGGTGGCAGCATATCTGTACCTCAGGCCCAACCCTGGGGCCTCCAGGTAGGACCCAGTCAGATTTGAGGTCCACTCAGAAGTTTGATTCATTTTGCGGTATATGAGGGGCTCTCAGAGAAACCCAACCCTCCCTGAGGTCTGCTGGAGATGAGAGGGGCTGGACAAGAATCCCTGAGCCCATGGGGAGGGCACTGGCTAGGCCCAACAAGAACCCACACAGGCCTGGTGAGATCTGTCTCAGTTCACACCTCACCTCTCTTTGTGGCCCAAGGTAAAAAGGGAACCCGGAAAGCCCCTGTCCAAAGTCCGGGTTAAAGCAAGGTGACCATCAGGATCTTGGCCCCAGCCATGGTAGTCGACTAATAGGTTGGATATACCCAGGAGGCTAATCCAGTCTCCTGTTTCTTAACCAAGTTCCTGTGGAAAACTACAGTCTACTGGTGGAGAACAACACTGCCTGGTCATCTCAGACAACCACAGCTGAGGCATCTCCTTTTCAGAGCCCTCAGGAGGTCCCACCATCACACACGTATCAGCCTCCACTTCAGCAGTGTTTGACAAAGGCCCCAGTTCCTGGTTGAGGCCCTGAGCAGGGAGAGAGGTCCCGCTTGGGTATGTCTTATGTACAGAACAAAGAGAAATTTTTACAATAAAAACACCAAACAAAGAAAAACAACTTCACAAGACACAGTGTCAGTCCTCGCTGATGTCCTTCCTGTTGTGCCCCATGTGAAGAGGGCAGCCCAGCCTCACCTGGGACCTGCCCCGTTCCTGTTTTCATCTCCATTCACAGCGAGGTTGTGTAGGAAGAGGAGGATCTGCCACCACACCCGATTTTGGTTTTGTTGGTGCTGAGAGGAAAACAAACAAAAAAAAAAATCAATTTAGCTGCTAAACACATACTTGGACCAGTATGCCCTATCATTTCCAATAAAAGTTCTGATCCACATGTCTCCAGGTGGCACTTTTAATCCTATGAGTACAGCAAACTGGAGAGCGGGGTGAGGTAGCATGAGATAGTTGAGTTCTCCAAAAACAATTGCAGTTTTAGCATTAAAAAGAAAAGGCCAGGCTCTTTATGCACTGTGCACAAGAGGATTAAACTTTTTCCCCTGCTTGCAGGATTTTCCAGAGTTTAGCCAAGTGCTGCTTTTAATCAGATTGGCTCCTGAGCTCCTCAAACCTCAGCTGCATGAACAACAAACTTTCTTTAGAAAGAAAGAGAAGTGCTCCCTTCTCCACCCCCCCCTCCAACTGCAAAGTAACACAGAGAACAAGGGGGAAAGGGGGGAGCCTCCATCTGCAAGTGATTTGACACTGTGAAGGTCAAAGGGTTAATCTTCAATTTAAACCACACTGCTGAGGCAGCAAAAATCTGATTTCATCCAGTGCGAACACGCGCGTGCGCGCACGCACACACACACACACACACACACACACACTTGCACACCACCCTCTCTCCCTTCCCTGCATCTCCAGCTCAGTGCTGCCCTTTTTATAGCTGCTCTTGACAGTAAGCCATAAATAATCCCTCTTGGAGCGCTTTCCTACTGACTGGAGCCAATTAAACGTTAAGCAAGAACATACTTGAAAACAAAACAAAAACAAAGAATGCACACTACTCTCTGGAGGTTATCCCAGGTCCTACTGTCAGGCCGGGAAGCTGGGGGCAAAGGTCAGGGGTCAGTGGCCCCCAGGATTGTGGCTGGTGCCCTGTGGACACAGGTACCATTTCCCAGGGGCCGTCAGAGGCCCAGAGGGGCTAGAGGGGTGTTGGAGAGACAGTATTTGTTCTGTCTTTGTCTACCAGGGCAGGAGGGCTGGGCTGAGGCCCCTCTCCACAGGGTTCTCAGTGGACAGGGGAATAAAAACTTAGTGTGCAGAAAGGAGCCAGCACAAGCTGGACTTGGATCACCGCAGGGGCCCAGCCAGCAAACACGTTTTATGGGAAGTGTCCAGGGGCAGCTGGAACCCTCTTTCAGGCTGTCTAACCACAGTCCTGGCTCCTACCTGGCAACTTCTAGTCAGAAGGGAAGAGGGCAGACTAAAGCAGTGGCAGAAGTGGAGTGTGAGCCCAGGTCTTTCTGACTCTCAGTTTCACAGGTACATCAGCCCTGGCTTCCGTGATCCTACCTAAAAGGTGGCTGGTTCCCTTTCACCTTGCCTTGGGCCAGGAAGAGGGGTGAGGTGTCAGCAGAGCCTTGTTCATCTACCCTCAGTCTGTGGCATTAGCACTTCTTTTTCCCCCGCCACAGGGAGACTAGAAACAGCCCAGAAAAGTGGAGGCACAGCTTTTGCAAGGAGAGGAGAGGAAGGGAAATCGGGTGTGCCACAGACAAGGCCTGGCAGACTGCTGCTGAAGAGACTGATGGCTTCCTTGTGTTTTGTAAACAAAGATGAGTAAAAAGAGGAAACACACCCGGCTTAACAAAATCTGGTTAGAGTAAAGCAGCGTGAAAATGGACTCAGCTGCAAACCTGAAGACTCAGGCCTACTGCAGCAGCTGGGCAGAGCACTGCCTCCCGGTGGCCCCTCCCAGCTGCTGCCCAGGACAGGTGCAAAGGTCATGTGGTGGAACAGGAGGAGAATGCAGAACAAGACTGGTCCCTGGAGAGGACAGGCTGCTGGAATGCTGAGTCTCCTCAGGTGGCTGTTGGAAAAGGTCAAGTAACAATAACAGCCATGATCATAACATTCAAAGTACCCATGAGTATGCCAGGCTCTGCTCTGTGTTTTACACCCTTGCTTCTCCAAGTGTGGTCCATGGACCAACAGCCTTAGCATCCTTTGGGACCTTTTTAGAAATGCAGGCCTAATGTTGTATGCATTTTTTTTTACAAGATCCCTGGGAGACTTTGAGACACATAAAAGAAGATATACATTCAACTTCTTTGGTCCACTCCACAACACATACTATGTAGAGTGTATTATTCATCATTCTACAGATGAGAGCATTTGAAAGAATTAGGTAACCTGGCTACATAACTGGTATGTAGCCAGACCTGGACAGAACCCAGACCATCTGGCCCTAGAGTAATGTCCCTACCGCAGTCATTTTGCTTTGGGGTCAGATATACCTTTCTTCAGACCAGGCAGACTCACTGTCCTCCCTTCGCTAAGTCATCCCAAAACAGCTCCATAGCCAAGCACATGCATCATGTAGGGTCCAGATCAATTTCATCCATATGCCTCAGTTCCTCCCCAAATTTCCTTTATGTAGACCACCTGCTGCCTAGGTAATTTACTGGGCTCTGAGGTGGTTAGGGGTGAGGCAGGACAGCTGCCTCAATTCCCATCATCTGGGTGTACTGAGGTATCCAGAAGCAGACATGAGCCAAAGAGTGCTCTCAAGCAGGAAGCTGAGAAGTCTTGCTGAGAGACACAGGCAGGCCTAGGAGCAGGAGGCAGGGCATACTGGCTGAGCCTCTAGAAGGATGCAGGTTCTGTTCCTCTGCCTGTGACAGGTTTCAGGGCTCACAAATCAGCAAGAAAGGCACTCTGGCCAACAGGTGCTTCTTGGAGCCAGAAATTAGAGTGTTCAGGGGAAGGATGTCCTAAAGGAACTCTGAAGAGTCTTATGGACTCCACCCCCTACTCTAGCTTTCTGGACCCTACACCCTACTCCAGTGATTAGAAACTACAAATCCCAGCAGTACCAGGGAGAGAACTGCGAGGACCCAAGGGCGGAGCTAGCAGGAATTCTGGGACATTTGGGGGATAAATAGGGCATGATTGCATCTCTCACTCTCTCGCTGGGGAAGCAGCTCTCCTGACCACGTGACTCGGTGAGTTCAGTCAGCCTAGCCCTAAGGTATTCTAGTTACTTTGTATCCCGCTCTCTTTCCCTGAGTTGTTTCCTATTCCTTTCCCCTTTTGTAAATAAGCCCATTATTGACCCTTTTGTGTGCACCTGCAGTATAACTGAATTGTGAGCATGCAGGTGAGGCCCCACTGACAGGCGGCCCAGTCCACTCTAGGCTACCCTGTAACAGTTTTTGGCGCCCAACGTGAGGCCCCAGAGTGGGCTGGGTTGCCCAGGGTGGACTGGGCTGGTCAGGAGAGCTGCTTCCTGAGCGAGAGATGCAATCATGCCCTATTTATCCCTCAAATGTCCCAGAACTCCTGCTAGCTCTGCCCTTGGGTCCTCGCAGTTCTCTCCCTGGTACTGTAATTTCCAATCACTGGAGTTGGGGGTGGAGTCTAGAAAGCTGGAGTAGGGGGTGGAGTCCATAAGACTCTTCAGAGTTCCTTTAGGACATCCTTCCCCTTAACATGAGGACCTGGCTGTAGGCTGGTACTTCCATTGTCTCGCTTCCCTTATAAATAAAATGCAGGTGTTGTGTTACAGTCACAAACCAGACTGTCACAGAAGCCACTGAGGTGGGTCCACTAAGGTGTACATAGAGCCCCCCAGACCAACAGGGTCTGAATCACCAGGGAAGGGGCCCAGGAATTTGAATGTTAAATAGGATCTCTAGATTACATTTTTAAATCAAAAGTAACATTACAATAATTATATTACATTAATTAGAAAGAAGAAAAGTAGTACATGTCAGTGGAGAAAAATTGGAAAACAAGAAATTTGAGAGTTGAAAATAAAATCACTCATGATCCTATCACAGAAGAAAACACTTGATGATTTGGTGTTTTCTTCCATCACTTTCAACATCTTCCCACCAGCATGGCAACTTAGCCAAGCTAGAGGTAAATCCTACCCCAGTGGTTCTACAGCAGCCAGGCCAAGAGAGGCATTTGGAAATCCCTGAGGTGCTTTCTAACCCTCAGGTTGGTACTTTGGAGCTTGTCATCCACAATTAACTTCAGGATTACAACTCAGAGCTTCAACAACTGAATCCTGTCAGTCTGACAGAAAGCCTTTCTGGGCCTGGACTGGCTCGTACACAGGTGAGCTGGCAGCACTGGTAAGCCAGCACAAACAGGCCTGGGAGCCATCTACAGCCCCAGTATCCCTTTCACTAGGCACAAGCAGATGCCACAGGTATTCTCCTGCCACAAGGTAGCCCCTCAAAGGCCCTTTTCTGAAAAGAAACCAAACTTACCAAAAGAACCAAAGAATGGGTCCCTCCCTGGTGGTGTAATGGGTTAAAGCAGAGCACTGCAAGCCAGCCACAGCTGCTTCAGCATGAGTTCGATCCCCAGCCAGGGAGGTGACCCACATGGCACAGCAGTCTCCTTCCAACCCACCCACTGCTGCCCTCAGCAGTGTACCTCCTCAATCTGCCTATTCTGTTCCCCATTCTGTCTCTGGTGAATTCTCTCACTGCCCCTGCATCTCTGGCCTGTACCCCAGTTCTGTATGCATAAATAAATAAAATCTTTTAAAAAAAATCAAAGAATGCCCTGATTAGGAAGAATAATATTTAAAAACACTTTTTTTTTCTCCCATGAAACAAAAAGGCCTGGCTAGAAAGGAAAAAAGGATTTGAAGGGAGGCCAGTGAGAAAGGCAATAATGAGGAAGGAAACAAACATTCACCCATTGAAATGAAGTACACAAAGATACCAAAGGATGTGGAGATGGTGTGGAGAATGGAAGCAGAAAGGGGGAACTGGGAAGAAGTACGCTTGGCCTCTGACTTGCAGGCACCTGGCACAGAGCCCAGCATATAATCTGAGAATGATGAATATAAGACCCAGCATGAGCACCCCTCCAAGAAGGGGAACCTGCGGAGACTGAGTGTTCCCCAAATACCTGGTCAGGGTGCTCTCAGTGGGAGGGGGCTGGGACCAAAGGGATGATAAGCTGGTAGGAACTGAATACATAAGAGGCCTCAAATTCATAGTCCAGAGGATATGACCAAGGCATGGAGGGAACAAATAGCAGTGAATGT